TGAAAACTATTTAATTCATTTATATATAAAAATATTAGATTTATTTTTTCATTTAAAATGCAATGCACTTAGCAAAATAAGAAAATAAAATTACATTTTAACAATTTTGTATGCGTGCTTTGCTTTTTATTCACAAACCGTATCGTATATAATGACTTACTGAAGAGTTTAATGGAAAAAAAAAGGAAGGTAAGAAAACAACAAACCTCCATTAGGAATAATTAATGAATAATGAAAGTGCAAAAATCGTTGAAGCTTCAAATTTACTTTGACGATTTCGTGTTTCAAATACAATTGTTAACAAAAAAAAAGTAAATTGAATTTGTTGCTATTGTTGTTAGCTGCAAAAATCTAGTATACACAAACATACACATAATACTACATGAAATCCCCATAAGTACGATATTACATGGTAAAATGTTAACAAACACGTTTTACATGTTTCTCACATACATGCACACGAACATACTTAGTTACTGTTATTGATTTTTTGGTTTCAAAAACAAAAAAAAAAAAAAAAAAAAACTTTTTCATTTTTTGCTTTCTTAACTCTATACTGTTATTCATTTCAAAATATAAGAAGATTGATGAATCTCTTCTAGATTCTGGAATTACAAAAAAAAACTGATGAAATCCATTGTATTAGAAATTAATTTTTAAGCCAAAAAAAAGGAAGAAAAATTGTTTTTTTTACAACAATGTAATGACACATTCGTATGTTATACATGAAATTATACAAAAATCATTCTATTCCAAAATATAAATATTTCTACATATACAATGAATTTCTACATATAAAATTATTCATCTAAGAATATTACATGAGAGATTAAACTTCTAAAGGCACAGGATTTGGATTTTAATTAAAAAAAGAAAAGGAAAAATCTTCAAATATATCAGAATAACATTACATTGTGTAGTACAACTTATTGTTATATGCAATGTATTAGAAGTAACAGAATTTTGTAGCAAAAATATAGGATAATAATGGCAATATAGAATTTTCTATTGGAATTTAAAATGAGATATTGGAATTTAAAATGAGTGTTATTTCCATGTAGATAATGGTTACATATTATCTTTGTGGAATCAATGACATTTAAATTATGTAGTCTATATATGCAAAGTAGTATTGGTATGATTAATTAGATCGAGAATAAATGGGATCAATCAAAATTCAATTTTAAATGAATTATGAAAATTAAAAATTAAAAAAATTAACAAAATTTAATTATAATATAAGCCTTAATTCTTCCGATTTGTAATGAAGATAACAATTAAAATTTTTTAGTCGAAAAATATTTTGTGTTATAGAATCTTCTGATATATATATGAGATTTTTACCGTCAGCATACATAACATCACCACAGAACACGACTTTTTTCCTTGTCAAGCATCCGATGCCGCACGAATGATACTTTTTGAACATCAACTTCAAACATAATATCCTTTTCATAAATTAAGAAATTTTACTGAATAACCTCTTCAAACTATTTGCAGTAACAAAGAATTTTGAAGTAAATACCATGCTATAGAATACCGCTAACATCTTGAAAAAATTGCCATTCGGTTGCAAATATTTGCATAGTTGGATTAGGTGTTTTACCAAACAAATAAATATTAAAGAATCCTATGTTATTTTAATATTTCTAAACAACTTTTGCATTTTTTTATTTAACAATATAAAAATAATGGAATATGATCTAAAATCTAACCTAAAAATAACTTCCATAATTTTTTATTACTCATTTCCTTTATTCGTGGTTCAAACCCAATTTATTGTTAATGGTATATACATACATATATATATAAAATTATGGGTATGGTAAATTAAATAAATTCATTTAAAATATGAATTACAGATTTTCAAAAGCATAAAGTTTAACACAGGTTAATCATTTTGTTTCTAATATTTTAATAGCGCCTATTTCTTTTAACACAAACTTACTTATAATTTCTCTGTTTAACAATAATTATAAATATGCTAATATGCCTACCTTAAATCAGAAATAATGAAAATGCAAAAATATGTGATTTACCGTCATAACATTTTCAACATGTTCAACTTAATTTCTTATACACATTAGCGCAGTCACATTACCATCGTGAGAGAAGAATTTACACCATTATATTTAAAAAAAAAAAATAATAATATTATGGGAAATTTTATTCAAAAAATATTTTATAATATTATATTTTATATAGAATAAGAACAATTAAACACTTCATCTTTAGATGAACTCTATGGGATGGGAACTTAATGTTATTTTGCAAATAAGTACTAATTATGTGTGTGTATAAGTATAATGATTCAAACTGCAATATTGAAAAATTTAAAACCAAGACCGCAATTGAAATATGGAATTATAAATATTATGCTTGTATACAATGTTAAGTGTTATATTTCAGTTATACTTAAGTAATTTGTGTAAAAAACTTTTTCATACATAATTGACACATTTAATATTTTACACATAGACACATTTAATATTTTACGAATATCAAAGGAATAGGGGCAGTCAAATAAGGAGTAAACATTTAATTTGTGCTTTTTGTGAGTTATTCAATTAATTTTCTTATTTTCATTAATTTTCTCAGGAATAGATAATCAATTTAATCAATTAATAGATTACTAATTATACATACATACATATATTTAAATCTTCATGAATTCGCAAGGGTGTTATTTTGCTTAATTTAAGAATATTTTTTAAAAGAAACAACAATATTTTAAAAATTTTTTCAAAAATATTAAATTTCTCTTTTTTTTTGAAGAATAAATTTCAACCATTTCAGCCACCTGTAACATTCTCTAAAGTAATCGCACTAAATATCTAACTATTGCACATGAATATTTAAATTTTATCAAAAATTAGCAAAGAACTAAATTTGCATAAGCAATAATCTTATAATTAATAATTGGGTATAAGTTTCATTAAAAAACACTTCAGTTTTGCTATATGGGAATTAAATTATAACACACGTATTATTCAATAACATAATTTTGTAACAAACCCCCTATGACTATGGAAATTATTATTTTTTTATATTTTGTATGTGCTTAATTAAAAAATTTTTTAATGCAATTTTGGCAAATATTTGCGTCATTGAAATTGTTAAGCAATAAAATTTTGTAGCAGAAATAATGTAAAATTTACTAACACTAAAATACATCCATGCCTTTAATTAAATATTAAATTTTACACAAGCATAGACACAAAATATGAACCCAATTGTTAAGATTTATCTATGTATAGTATTTAATTTAAAATGCAAAATTAAAAAATTTCAAAGCGCAAAAATTGCAAATAGCTAATAGTCGTGGAGATTCACCAGAAAATGAATCCGTTACTCATGTTGTATTCCAAAACTCTAAATATTAATATTATTTTTTTTGCAATGCTAAATGAAAATGAATAAGAAGATTTTTTTTCCAAAATGTTGAAGATATAAGCACTTTTCCTAATAATATAAACCCAGTAAATGATGTTCAAGATTTTGCTATACCTCGTAGCTATATTAAAATTTGTATAAGTCGGTATTGTCATTTAAGCGAATATACACTAATACAGCCGTAAAACATAATTCAGGTGAAATATTGTTATACATTTCGACTCATGTTTACATATATATCAAAAATATTTCTTTAGAATTCTACAAAAATTTTAAGTAAAAACTCTACCAGAGGCTTAAAAACAAAATCATTTTTCACTTTACATTCAGACAGGTTTTGGGACCTTTGAGTCCTGAAGCATAATTATCTAGTAGTTCCCTAAATGAAAGATTACTTGAAGAGAGCCCATTGGTTTTCAAACCCAATTCTGTTCGATGAGTCCTGAAGCATAATTATCTAGTAGTTCCCTAAATGAAAGATTACTTGAAGAAGAGCCCATTGGTTTTCAAACCCAATTCTGCTCGATTCCAATTTGGAAATTATTGTTTAAAAGCTATTATTTTATGACAGCTGTTATTCTGTCACAACTTAATAGACATAATACCATAATATTTGCAAATGTTGTACACAATATAACATATATTATATTACATTCAGTCATACTAGGAGCTCTGCAAAATCACCCGGTAAATAATTGAATTTACGGCATAGTTGAATTTATGTACGAACAAGTTCTTGATTACTGTTTTAACATTATAAACATACTGTTTAACCCTGGCTTGGTGAGTAATGATTGCAATAGAAGAGTAAGTAACTCTTCTTTCTTTAAAACCATATTTCTTTTTTAACTATTTGGTGTGTTCGAGATTCGAGCTTATTAAGTCAGACCGACTTTTTGAAATTAAAAAGTAAAGTTTTATATATGAAGTTTCTCTTTTGTTTTTCATAATGAGCATAACAAACACAAATCATTCATGTTGTTTTTTAAATTATTTATTACAAATCATCATCATCATCATCATCATCAGTATCATCATTATCATCATCATCATCATCATTATTACAAATTATTTTTGTTATTATTATTTTTTGTTTTTTTTTTTTTTTCAAAAAATTAATGAGAGCGTTAAAATGAAGTTAAGAAATTAATACTATGAAATGAAAGGAAAATAACGATTACAATAAACAAAAAAAAAGAAAAACAATGTTAGAGCAAAATCACAAAGAGTTAAGCGTAATCTAATATGTGAACAGAAGGTTTAATAAACTTTATTTTTTTTTTGTTTCATTCACAATTTTTACCTTGTTTTACACAAAGAGAAAAAAACTCATTTAACTTTACTTTTGTTTGATACACATTCATACATTCATACATGTAGATACTTGGGTGTATTTAAATAAAAAAAAAATCGCAAAGATTTGATACACTTTTCCATAGTAGAACCGAACTAGATAGATAAATTGACTCTCTAAAGAATTGGGTCGTCATTTATGATCTAATTTTTTTTTCCGTTTTTTTTCTTATTTTATTTATTTTAATCTAAATTTCAAGTATAATTCTCTCTTTCTTTAATCTTATTATTAACGTTTCTTTTTCTCATTACAGGTAAGTCATCATCATCATCAGTTCTACACACAAATTCACACAGTTTCAAGTTATATTAATAGAACAAAACAGAAAAAGCAGAAAGAAAAAACTGTAAGTAATTACCGTAACCACAGTAACCTCGAAAAAATTTTTTGTTATTTGACTTGGTTTTAGGTTTTTTTTTTCGCTTTTATAATGCAAAGAAGCTTTAGTTTTCTTATATTCCTCCCTGTTTGATTAGATTTTTTTTTGTAATATAGAAAACATAAAAAATATATGTTACATTCATACATATGTACGTATGTATGTAGTTATATAGCCATATAACTTATGACTTGATTGGGATTTAGTATTATTTTTGGTGTCATTTGTGAGATAATAATAAAGGGAAATAAAATGTAGTTTTATGTTTCTTTTGTTTTTCTTGATTAGCCACATGAGAAACTTGCGATTTTGTTCAAGTTTAAATCTGAAATACTTAATTGGTATATTTATTATTATGTTGCATTGTGTGTATTATAGGTATGTATATTGTACATGTTTCAGTATATAGCTGTAGTAATTATCGTAATGTAGTTCAATGTGATAAAACAACTTCCGATTATATTTAAAAATTTAATAGTAAAATATTTTATGCGAATATAATTTGGAATAATTAAAAATAGTTTAAAATTTTTATATTAATATTTGCGGTTGGGGGTTAAATTTTTCAAGTTTTGTCATTTATAAAAATAAAAACGATTGATTTGTGAATGTAATTGCATTTTTAATTTGAAAAAGGTTAAAAAAATTATAAAAATATTTAGTTATTATGATTGGAAACACTTAAGCCAATTGAACTTGTCTGTTACTGTTTAATATTAATTAGAAAATTGATCATTATTTCAGTAAAATTTTATGAGTATCTAAAATACAAAATTATCGAATATTGAAGAGGTTATAAGACTGATGAGAGGTAAGAATCTTCGAAAACGAAATATATTTTTTGAATTCAAATAATTTTGAATGCCACATTAGTCAACCATACGATTAAATCTCGAGCAATTGTACGCGTGCAGACAATTAAATTTTAGCGCAATTCTTAGAGTGGAATTATCATAAAATAAAACTTTAATATTTTTGTTTTTATTTAATTTATTTATATAAAAGTAAAAACTATTTCATTTGTAATAAAACAGGTAATCATTTGTAAACTCGTAGAATATTTCAATTAGACAAACTAACGGTTTAATAATCTACATATATTGAGGTCAATTTAGCTAGAATATAAAAAAGACCATGTGCAACAATAATAATATTTTTTATTTTTTAAAGAAATTCATATGATTTTAAACATTAAAATAAACTGCAAGAGACGCCCGTCAAATTCGAATTTAGTACAGAAAATCTTGATGGGGAATACTGCGGGCGACGCCCGTCATTTCCAATCAAGGGGTTAAGCTTCAATTTAACTCTGTTCCAGCTTATTTCAGCTGTAATTTGAGAAAAATAAAAATTCCTAATAAATAAAATTGTAAAACGTTCCTACATTTTATGTTATACTAAATGCATATACTGTGAGTCTCAAAAAAAACCGCTCACTAAAAATTATTTTATGTAGTGTTTAATATATTTTGTTTTAATTGTCCAAGTCACAAACTAATTTATAAATAATAAAGTACATTTAATTACCAACAAAATTAATTAAAAAAATTTTCATAAGAGTAACAAAAACAAAACAAAAAATAAATAAATTCAAAAATTCTAACTTTTTTACGCGTCAAAACAAACCGCTCAGTTTTAGTACATACAAAGCACATTCATCTAGTTTTCTGCAAAAACTTCGGGAATCCCCCAAAAATATTTGTTTATTAATTTTTGCAGGTTTAATTAAAGGCATATCATTGTTTTTTCTGAATAGTTCGGACTATTTTTTCGTTTTTGCAATAAAATAAATCATTCTTTAGAAGATTTTAAAAAGTAATTTAAATATGGTGAAACAAACCACTATAGAAACGAGAGAAATTATTATTAATCTCAATAAAGCAGGTAAATCACACCGCGAAATAGGCAAACTTGTGGGCAGAGCGTATTCAACCGTAAAAACTATAATTGACAAGTATAAGAATACAAATAAAGTTAACGATCTCAGACGCTCAGGTAGGCCGAAGAGTTTAAATCCAATTCAAATAAGAGAAATTGTTAAAAATGTTAAAAAAAATCCATATACAAGTGCCGTGACGGTTGCCCAAAATATTGGAATTAACACAGGCAAGCCCGTTAGCGCAAGTACGGTACGTAGAGTACTACATGACAACGGATTATTTGGAAGAGCACCACGAACAAAACCTAGTATCTCGAAAAAAAATAAGAAAAAGAGACTTAGCTACGCAAAAAAATATAAACAAAAGGATTTTCATTTTTGGAAAAATGTATTATTTACTGACGAAAGCAAGTTTGAAATATTTGGAGCCAAAAAACCAGTTAAAATATGGAGAGAAGTCAATAAAGAGTTTGAAGACAAAAACGTTATTAAGACAGTAAAGCATGGTGGGGGTTCAGTTATGGTCTGGGGCTGTATGGCTGCAGCTGGGGTTGGTAATTTGGTGTTTATAGAAAGCACTATGAATAAAATGGGCTATTTAAAGATTTTGCAAGACAATATTGCACCAAGTATAGAAAAATTAGGTCTATGTAATAATTGGATCTTCCAGCAAGATAACGACCCAAAGCACACTGCTCTTGTTGTGAAGGAGTGGTTGCCATATAGAACCCCAAAACTATTAGACCACCCCCCCCCCAGTCGCCAGACCTTAACCCAATCGAACATTTATGGGACTACCTGGACAAACGTATAAGAACAAGAGATATTAGTAACAAGGAAGACCTAAAAAAAGCAATTTTAGAAGAATGGGCAAAAATACCTTCCCAGTTTACAAAAAAACTTGTAGAATCCATGCCAAGGAGATTGGGTGCTGTATATAAGTCAAAAGGGCTACAAACCAAGTATTAATTTGATTAATTTTTAAAAACTTTTAATATTTTTTATTAATGAGCGTTTTTTTTTGACGCGTAAAAATATGTGGATTTTTGAATTTCTTTATTTTTTGTTATGTTATTGTTATTTTTTTGAAACTTACTTTTAGGAATTTTGTTTGTAATTGAATGGACTTTAATTTTTGTGATTTAGTTTGTAACTTGAATAATTAAAATGAATGAAAATAAATGTTAAACAAAATAATTTTTAGTGAGCGGTTTTTTTTTGAGACTCACAGTAGAATGATTGAGAGAATAGAAGTATTTGATGTTCATTTTGAGCTTGCGGAATTGTATTTCTATTATTCTAAATAATCACTCGCTAGGCAAAAAAATCAAAGGTAAATTGAATATTGCATGTTATTTTCAAATATCAATCTTATCAATATTTTTCAATTTTTATTCTACATCCTGTATAATAGTTCCTTGATTACTTTATTCATAATTGATAAAATTCCTCGGTTAGTGCCATTATCATTAAAATCATTTAAATATGCTATAGTTTTTAGTACAATTTACAATGTAACAAACTATTACATTGATTTAAACAAGTTCACGTTATTCACTCTTATCTTTAAGCACCTACTTTTATGTATATGCAAGGAATAAACAAAATTGTTATCAAGACTATAGATTTTATCTATCTACATAAAATAATTATCAATTGACCACGGTTCAACCTCAACATTTTCAAATCTAATAAATCTGTTATCACGTATATTTTTTTTTTGACTTTTTAACATTTGTTTTTAGATCTTTTAAAAATTTTTGAAAAATTACAAAGCAAAATTTTTTTTCAAATATCAAGGTAAAATCATTTTAGAAAAACATGCTAAAAACAAAATTGTTACATTTTTTTTTCTCTCCTCTACAAGCTTGAAACTTCACATTACAAACACTCATGTTCAATTTTAATTTTTTAATCATTTTAATAAACTTCACTTTTTGGTTTTTTGCAATCTAAATACTAACATAAAAGATTTATAGTGGTGATTAAACTAAAAAATAGTTTCTTGGGTGTAGCTATCAATCAAATGAATACGCGAAATTTAGTTTTTTCTATATATAGGGTCAGAAGGTCATTTGAAGTTCAAATATCTAACGTGATTTTTTATACCCTGCACTTCGTGAAGGGTATATTAACTTTGGTATGGAGTTTGTAACTACTTGAAGGAGTCATCTGCGGTATGGACATATATATATATTCTTGCTCAGCGTAAAATTCTGAGTCGATTTAGACATGTCCGTCTGTCCGTCCGTCCGTCCGTCCGTCCGTCCGTCCGTCCGTCCGTCCGATCGCACGATAACTCAAAAACGCATAATGCAATCGACACCAAACTTTCACAAGTTTTTTCTTTTGTACCAAGGACGAGCCCTATTGTTATTGGACTAATTCGGACAACGGGTTCGGGTAGCTGCCATACAACTCAAAGAGTTTATTTTAAATATTTCAAAAACTAATAAAGGTATAAATATAAAATTTTGTATACATGTGTCCAATTATATTCTACACATGCTATAAAAATTATAATGGGGTAGCTGCACCGGTTCGGGTGGCTGCCATACAACTCCAACAGCAAGTTTTTTATATTCGGCAAAATAATAAAGTCAGATCCATGAAACTTGGCAGTCATGTGTCCAATTATAGGTCAAATATATTTCTGAAGTTTTAGAGGAATCGCTTGACAGGTTCGGGTACCTGACATACAACTCCAGAAGCAAATTTTAAATATTTAGAAAAATAATAAAGTCAGATTCATGAAACTTGGCAATCATGTGTCCAATTATGGCTCAAATATATTTCTGAAGTTTTGGTGGAATTGCTCGACAGGTTCGAGTAGCTCCCATACAAGTCTAAAAGCTTATTTTAAATATTTGGAAAAATAATAAAGTCAAATTCATGAGACTTGGCAGTCGTGTGTCCAATTATAGGTCAGACATATTTCTAAAGTTTTGGTGCGATTGCTTGACAGGTTCGAGTAGCTCCCATGCAAGTCTAAAAGCTTAATCTTAATATTTGGAAAAATAATAAAGTCAGATTCATGAAACTTGGCAGTTGTGTGTCCGATTATAGATCAAATATATTTGTGAAGTTT